ATTCCCAGGTGATTCTCGGTGAGGCCCTCCTTGCCCCTCCTTTGAGATGGGTTCTTTAAGCTGTGGGCGGAGGGAGAGCTGGTAGCTGAGCTGGGTCCCATGATTGGCAGAAGAGAGGGAAGGGAGTGAGCCCAGCTCAGCCCTTCCTCCTCCCCCAGCTTTATCCACACCTGTTGCCTCGGGACAGATTCGCAGAGGGTGATGTTAGCATCATCCAGAAAACCCAGGCTCAGAGAGGCTCGTGGCCCTCTCTAAAGCCCCTCAGCTGGTGGGAGGGAGGCAGAGACAGGATTTAGGCTTGTGGTGGTCCCTGCCGTGCTGCTGGGTCTGGGTCATGTGCAAGGAGGACTGGTGAGAGTCTGAGTCATAAAAATCTCTGACAGATGGTACCAGTGACATGACAGGGACCAAGGCCAGGCCGTGGTGACTGAGGTGAGGAAGTGATGGTGCCGCGTGTGCATTGGTGAATCCCGCGATGAGTCCCCACCGTCGCTCTGTTCTTGGCTCCTGTGTCACCTCTGCCAGTAGCATCCTCCATGGCACCCCCAGCAGCAGGTCCTGGGCTCCGAACCCTCTCTGCGCTGACCGAGAGGAGCCGCCCCGAGCTGGAGGGTCCAGGCTGATGTACCTTGGTTCCCCGGCCCTGGCCTGCACTGCCAGGCACACAGATGGCACTGGAAAATGTGGTGAGCACATGGCTGGTCCCACCCTTTGGAACCAGAAGAGGGCAGGGAGCATGGCCAAGACCACTGGTCACCTCCATCAACACGCCCCTCCCTAGGAATAATCATGAATTTTACCTGGCCATATTGCTCCAAAATGAAGGCTGTGTGTCAATCATGTTCAAGTACTGTGTTGAGTCTTCCCGGAAGGCTCAAAAGGGACAGGTGAGCCCTCTCCTCCTTTCTGCTTCTCTGCTGCCTGGGATGCTAATGCAATGGCTTGTCCAGCAGCAACTTTGGACTCTGTAACTAGGTGATTCTGAGGCCTAGTTACAGATCTAGGTGATGGAGGGTAATGGAGACCTAGGTAAATCTAGGGTAATGGAGTAGAAACACAGGCTCTTGATGACCAGGGGTCCATCATGTCACCCCTGAACTGCCACATCGACACTGCTTATTTTTGGTGGTAAGTGTGGGGTACCGATTGTGTCTTTGGGCTACTCAGAGTCCAGCCTAATCTCAGCTGGCACATGGTGTCAGTTCAAGATAGGTCCCAGGGCTTCCTGGTAGGAAGACTTGATTTCTGGTTCTGAGTTCCCATCACTGCTGGTGTGGATGTGTCTAGATGAATGAGTCACTGCCCAGACCTGGTTTTGTTTATATGTTTTTCTTTTTCTTAATGAGCTCAAGGATCACCATCCTGTCTCCTGTACATGGTGAGTGGTTGAACGGAATGAGGCCCATGTAAAAGACAGTATGCATGTGGCAAAACCATCACAGGTAGAAGGAATGTGTACCTCCTGGGTGGCAGCCTCGCCCCCTTGGTCGGCCAGTGGGGTTCTGTCCATCCTGAATTCCCAGAGTTCATTTGCTCATGCATGCCCGTGCTTGTTGTGAGGACAGCCCTGTTTTCTAAAGCATCACCTCCGTCAAGTCCCCTTGGTGCATGCCAAGGGAATAGGGATATGGTTGTTGATGATGACAAAGGCCAGAGAGGACAGGATGTCTCATCGGCCACCACTCAGAATCATAGTGCCATTAACATCAGAGACTGGTCCAGGGGACTTGTCTACAGGTGTGCGGCTAAGCCCAGCATGGCTCTGTACTGTCACCCCCTGTTAATTTCATACAATGCGGGAAATGTGGCAATTTCTAGAGATTCTAGGCTGGACTCCCCAGCCATACCAGAAGAAACCTCTTATTATTAATTCCCTAACCTATTGCAGATGGTCTTAAAAGAAATACCAGGGAACAAAATTTTCTTTGATCAAAGCATCTTAAGATGTGTCTGCTCTTACATCCTGGTGATAAAAGAAAGCAAACATTTTCCTCAGAGAGTGAAAGGGAAATGAGGGCAGCTGCATTAGGTCTAATTGTGGACACATTTGCTGAAACCTCAGCCTGGACTGTATCGTGTTTTGAGCGCTCCGTATGTGGCAGACAATGTAGTGGCTTGGCACATATGACACTATTTTAAAGCCCTCAACCTATTTCACTAATGAGTTAATTGAGCCTCAGGGAAGTAAAGCAATTTGTCCAGAGGGTCATAGCTAATAAACTGCAAACTTGGGATCCCAACGAGGTCCATCCGATTCTCAGAGCACAACTTTCTGCTGGAAGTTTCCATGCTATCTACAAATCAACATCTCTTAATTATGAATGCAACCTTGTGTAACTAAATCGCACGTTGTAGGTGGCCCCTTTGATCTCTGTTTATACTGATGTCCTCTTTCTTCTGCATGCTTTTCTAACAATTAAACAAAGCCTCAAAGGAATGGAATTCTAAACCCATTTTATTAAATTGTTTTGGTTCTCCAACAAAAACAGCTCCTGTTGGTTTATCTTGTTCATCTGATAGCCTAAACACATGCAATTATTTTTCTCCCTGCAAAATAATGTGTCTTTCAAAGGTATTTTGCCTCCTCCTCAATTTTGCAAGGAAATGCACTTTTGTTCTGATGTCCAGCTGGAGATGGTCATTTTGCCAGCTGATATCTGGTGTGATAAGAAAATCTGGGCTTCAACAACCAAGCTCAGCCTGGTGGTTAGGAGCACGGGCGGGAGAATCCGACTGTCCTCGTGACTTGCCCACGTCTCTGTTTCCTCCCCTGAGAAGTGGGAGAGATGAGCACCACCTGGTGGGGTTGTCTTGAGGTTGGGATGAGCCTCTCCCTGGGAAGAGGCAGCCTGAATAATGGCTCTGGCCACGGACGAGCTCTGGATTGGAATCTTAGTCCTCTGAGAGGCAGCGAGCTACACAATCTCTGTGCCTCAGGTTTTCCCGCTGATAAAATCTACAGATGATAGTCATTCCTACATCTCTGGCCGTTGGGATCAAATGTTAACTCACTTAGTTAAATGAGTAACCAACTCACCCAGAGATGTGCCCGAATAGTGACACGAGGTTTGGGTGCAGAATCCAATCTTCCTGTCAGGAAGCCCTCGCATCATACGTGTGTGATAAGTGTGGTGTTGAGGCAAAGCCCGCTCATATCCCAAAACTCAGGCCACGAGTACATGTGGACCTGCACAGCGATAGCACGTTGAAGTGACCAAGGAAGTCTGAATACTATTAACTTTCCCTCAAGGAATTTAAATCCTAAAACCTAAGTGACAGAGAAAAAGGCCATGCAAATACTCTGCAAAGCAGAGTTGGTCTCGCCAGCCTAGTTGCCAAGGAGAAATGCAGAATTTCGTTAGCAGCAGGACTTGACTGAACCATGGTCCCCAAATGGATCCCAGTCCTAATTCCCAGAGCCAGGAGGATTACAGGGAAAAGGGTCATTTTGTAGCCGGTCAAGTTAAGGATTTTAGGATGTGAAGATGATTTTGCACTATTCCTGTGGGCCCTAAATACAGAGATGATAGTAAGAGGGAGGCAAAGGGAGATTTGCACAGAGGAGAAGGTGGTAAGGCTACAAGGAACCCTGGTGGCCATCTGAGGCTGGAAGAAGCAGAGAACATGCCCCCCAAACTTCAGAGGGGTGCTGCCCTGTTAATACCTTCATTTTAGCTCACTGGAATTGTTTTCTGACTTCTGGCCCCAGAACCGGGGGAGAGTGAATTCCCATTATTTTTAGCCACCACATTTGTGGTAATTTGTTACAGCAGCCACAGCAAACTGATTCAGTGCCATTGGCCCCAAAGTAGCGTCTGCAGCAACTTGGCTTCGTGGTTCTGAGTGGCTGGCTCTTTGGGGTAAGCTGAACCCCCAGTTAAAATGCATACTAGGATTCCCTTCTCAACAACAAAAGCTGTACTAATTAGTTGCCAAAAAGCATCGAATGTCAATTTTCATCTGATGAAGCCTTTCTGAATAATATCAGGAGGTTCAGGAGGGAAAGCAGACAAGCAAAGAAAATGACGGTTTCTGCACTCTGCTGTCAGGAACCTGGTCTCACAATCTTCTATACAGTTCAGTCTTTCAGGAGTTGAAGAGGAACTTTCCTAAGTTATTTCTAAATAGACTTAATTTTTTGAGCTGTATTTTAGGCTCACAGCAACACTGAGCAAAGAGCACAAAATTCCCATGTACCCCCGCCTTTCTCATTATCCCACGTGAGTTACTTCTCACACACCTCAGGGTGATTACTCCTATTGTAAAATTACTGCCTGCACACACATAAACAGGAGTGAATTTTATGATGTGTTTAATGGGGGTCAGGAATTTTTTTCTATAACTATAAAAAATACAACCACAAATCCTTACAACCTACATTAGGGGTGGCCCCAAACTTGGATGTGGGGGTGTTATACCAATCAGGTGTCTCAGCTACAGGGTCCTGATGAAGTTCCATGGCAAACTCTAGTGAGTCCCTGCTGGGGTTCCTGGAGTTGGATGGAGGGTTGGGTGGATAAATGGGTTCCACAGATCTCATTCATGGCACTTATTCACCCAAGTCCCACCTGAATCATCCCTGCCATCTCTCCCCAAGCCCCTTGTAGGGGCCACCAACTTGCCTCAGGGGGTCTGGATGGGGTTCCATCTCCTCCAACGCCCCCCACTCACCCTCCACCTCCTTGCTGATGAGGACAGAGGGATGATAGGAAAGACAGCATCTTGCTTGGCCCCCATCTGGACAGTGTCTCTTGCAAATGACAAGGGGCTCCCTGGGCATTGTTTTGGTGGCCTGAAACTGGTCTCTGTACTACTTACTCTTGACTTCTTTATAACTGCAGACTCACTTGGTTCTCTGTTTTCTCTAAGGCCTACATGTGACCACACACGCTTTAGCTCTGCCCACCCTTATAGGCCACCAAACTTTGGGTTGGTTGGCCCTAATCCTCCCATCGACCCAACCCTCAAAGTCACCTTAACAGGATGAGAGTGGAGACGCCTAACTTACTAACAAGCTTTAATGAAGCCTCCAGTAAACTGAGGACCTTCTGACATCCTTGGGAACTTCTCTGGCCTCCCGGGGCCCTGTGCGGTCACTGTTGAAATGTCTTTGGGGCAATAGTCCAGAACCAAGCTCAACAGCGTTGGTGGCAAAGACCATATGTGTAGCGGGGCCTCACATCGTGTTGGAGGAATTGCCCTTAAGAAAATTTCCCAAGATAGTAATTTTCCCATCTGCGAACTTTGTTGGTTAGTGTTTTCCACTTGCTTGGGTTTATCCTTTCAATCCCTTTGCTGATTAAATCACTGAGAAGGATGTACTGGTAGGAGTAGACGCTGTCGATGGACTGTAGACAGAACTCCCTCCTGTTATTGATGATGAACCACTTCAGAGAACACCAGGCTGAGTCTAAAGGGTTCAGGTAGTTGTAATGGGAGGGGAGACAGAGCAGTTTATGGCCGTAGGACTTGGCCACCTCTGGGCAGCACACTATGCTTGTTAAGTTAATGACTGTTGGGAGGTTGGCCTGGACCTCGGCCTCTCTGTGTTCCTGGGGCCTCGCCTCATCCTGCTGCCTTCTCCCTTTGACCACGATGGCGCACTTCCCATAGTTCTTCTTCACCACATCACAGAACTCGAAGAAGAGGTGGTCTTCCTGCTTGGTGCACAGCTCATCTCTTAGGAACGTCCGGTAGTTCCACGGCACCCATCCTTGACTGCCTCCTGCGTGCACGATACACCAAGTTGGAGTTTGCACGAAATATCCATTGCCAAGTTCTTCCCCGGTCACGAGACTTTCCGGGATATCAGTTTCCCCAAAATACACGGCCTTAAACCCATCGTGCTGCAGCGTCCTCAGGGCTTTCAGATACTGGAGGCATTGCTTCCTCCTGACGCCGTCAAACTGACCTCTGCTAACGATGCTTTTCAGAAGAGAGTTGGCAAGGCGAGGCATTGTGGGGCCCCAAGGGCTTGACGTGTCTCTGTCTGGGGAGATCTGGCAAGGGTGACATGATGACCTCATAAAGAGCTTTCTCAGAGCTGTGCCAGGCCCCTAGCTACACTTCAGATTCAAAGCATCACGGGACACAGACTGACAACACCTTCCTTCTGGGCTGTGGATTATGGGAATGGAAAATGCTACTTTGATATCACTTCTGGAATATGTCCAGAACAGAGACTGGAAAGCATTTTACAGGGACAAACCAAGTTTGTGCCTTTTACCCATTTGATTCATTAAAATGGAAAAACTTATTTACATTCATTTGTCCATTCCAGAAATGTTTGCTGAGCACCTACTAGGAACCAGGCATGGTTCCATGCACTGTGTAATAATCGTAACATGTCCAGGGAGCCTGGGGTTTTGGGGTGCAGGTGTGTGTGTGTGTGTGTGTGTGTGTGTGTGTGTGTGGTTTGTGTCAGCTGCCTGCCCACTTACACAATCAAGAGTGAGCTTTTTTTTTTTTTGGTGGAAGTAGAGGAAGATATAACAAAGAACAAAAGAAACTCAGTGTATATGTGGGAGACCAACCTTACACGTGACTTTGAGTCACACTCCCTGGCTGGGTGCTGAGGCGCTCAGTCACAGAAATGTGGCAGAGCTTTCCCCACCCTTCTTGGGTCCGAGGGTCGGTGTCTTGTGCGTGGATGTGTCTTGCTACAGCCCCATGGGTGAAGCTATGCTCATCTGTTCCTTTGTAATAGAACCCCTTGCCCTGTTTAGGGTAGAATCTTCCATGGAAGTGCCTTGTGTGTGTCCCCTCCTCTTACTGTGCCCTTGGGTGTGGCCTACCCAGGTGTCAGTCAACCTGCTGATAGTGGACATCATGAAGATAGACTCAGCCCCCTGAACCTGACCCCTTGCCTCATTTGAAGAGCTTCTCCTCAATAAAAGGGGTCAGCGCGTGCTCTCTCTCTCTCTTCCTGTGGACCCTTAAGGTCAGAGGAGCCATCACTGTGACCCCAAAGAAAAAGGTATCTGTGTCTCTTGTGTGGTTATTTTGCACAGCCCAGTCAGCCCAGTTCAACTGGAGTGACCCCTGAGCCTTTTAGTCGCCACCCGGCAGTGCACACCCATCTTTCACTGGGACTGCCAATTTTGAGGTGATTTAATGCCATATCTGGAGGGCATTTTTAATTTTATATGCTCAGGGCGAAATGACAGTTTGCTTCGATCTCTAGCAACCTCTTTAATTTCCTTTGTGTTTTCTTATCTCTTTAATCCGAGACATTTCACAAATGTGTGTGAGGAACTCCCTCCATAAAGGCGTTTCTTCCTTCCCCTTCTCCTCCACCTGGGTTTTCTTGGGACTGAAGATCAGGCCACCCCAGACAGGGAGCCCACCCCATCCCAGCAGCTGCATGAAGCCTGTGGCCTCCAAGCAGCCACTTCCGGAGGTCAGAAGCTGAAGGCTTCGGCTGGATGTTGGCATGTGGTCATTTTCTCTTAGGATTTTTCCTTCAGTTAGTGGAAACCACTTTTCCAACCAAATTTGATGTGTATGTCAAATGTGTAGAACAGAAGTGTGGCTGCTCTGGCTGAGGGTGATGGTGGTCCCCGCATGCCCTGCTCAGCCACCCGGGCCTCCCCGCCCCTACCCCAAGGGAACTAATGGCCTGGGATGTGGGTGAGAGGGACCTACCAAGGCAACAAAGTCACCCCAGGGCAATGGCCCGGCCTCGCTCATCCAGATTTCAGTTATGGGTATGGGAGTCTCGCTCAGAAGCATGGGACGACGTATGTGAAGAATTGTCATTATACGTGGTGCAGCCATGCACACATGCAGATATTTGCCTGTTTTTATATAGAAACAACAGGATGATAAAGCAAATGTTAATTAAAATTGTCATCGTCTGGTGGGGGGAGAATGGGAGTGAGGAAAGAAAGAACTCTAGACTTCTCTGAATATCTCTTGTTTTATGGTTTTAACTTTAGAAAATAAACATTTTATACTTATAAAACAAAACCAAAGGGAAACATAAAACAAAAATGAACTCTAAAAATACCAATAAAACAGAAATCAACTAACTAAGCTGTCTATCATGTCAGCAACAAAGTCACAGACCTTCATTTACTTCAAATGACTCTGTAACAGTGTTTTTATTTTACACTCTGTGGTGGCAGGTATGTTGAGGACCAAGAAAAACCCATGAAATCTCACCCTGTACTCATTCATCTTACCGTTAGTAATAATACTGGTGCTATTGATTTGAAACTTATGTCCCTTCTTAAAGTACATAAAGTGATTTCAGATAAATGAGTAATAGTGTTGTTAGTACCCGAGTTTTTCAGTCTAACATTCCAATAGGAAGGTGCTGAAGATAGCAGTATGAATTCATGGTTAATTTTTCTCTTTGAAAAAATTCACATTTCCTAGCTCTCCCTGCTGAAAAAGACCTACAAGTAAAAACATCCCAGTAGCAATGTCTGCTTCTACCCCCACGTTCTGGTCTCTAAATATCACTTCCTAGGAATGAGGGCACCTTTGATTACAGGTCTGATGAGGCAAATGTGCAGGATGAAGTGACACATCTTGTTTAGCCTGAAGGCATAGAGACGAGGATCTGATCATCAGTTTTTCATTGATAAACAAAATGCCTGAGAAAAACAACTTAAAGGAGCAAAGGTTTATTCTGACTCACTGTTTCAGAGATTTCAGTCCAGGGGTGGCCATCTCTGTGGCTTTGGGCTTGAGGTGAGGCAGGACATCAAGGCGACAGGGACATGGCAGGAAGCTCCTCCACCTCGAAGCTCCTCCACCTCCATTCCACCTCGAAGCAGGGAGAGGAGAAAGGACCAGGGACAAGATATGGTCCCCAAGAGTAGACCCTCCAGAACCCACTCCCTCTAATGAGGTGCCACCTCTTACAGTCTCTACCACCTCCCTCAACCCATCTAGCTCTGAATCCCTCAATGGATTCATCCATTGATGATCCAATCACTCCCCCCAAACCCCCACCTCTGGACTTTGCTGCACTGGGGACCAAGCCTTCATTCAGCACATGAGCCTGAGGGGGACATTCCTGATCCAAACCATAACAGAAGCCATCAGAGATACCAGGTTCTGCCCAAAGGCTCCAAGAGTCAATGAAAAGAATGGCCAAAGATGGAGGAATTTGAACGTTGAAAATCAAACAACGACTGCAATAGATTCAAGTGCAAGGATTCTATAAAAATCTGTGGATTCGTGATGATATTAAAAAATAAACAACATGCACCATAAAAACTACTAAAAATATTAGTCACTAGTGGGGGTAACTTTGAAAGGCACCATTGCATTATTCTGCCAGTTAATAAGCAGAAGAATCCAGCATTTGTCTTGCCGTTCCTTTGGTGGAGTTTTTTCAGAGTGGGAAATGCCAGGATGGAGGGTCCAAGCGAACCCACGAGGTGGTGGGTGTGTGCCTGGCCCCCCCGGGCAGTGTGGTGAAGGAGAGGCAACCTGAGTACAGTAGTGAGCAAAGGCTGTGGTTCCAGATAAATCAGGGCCAAATCTCAGTCACACTCCTCACCAGCTGGACTTCCCAGTCTTTAAAATGGGGAGAACACCTATCTTCAAGTGCTGAGTTGCTGTCTACAAGAAAATAGCCCATATAATTTGCTGGCACAGAGCTTAATAAATGGCTGCCATTATTGTAGAGACGGATTGGCTGGGTCAACAGACTCTGAGAGAGTCTGGCAGTGACTGCAGAGAAGAGGAAAAGAGATGAGCCAGAAGAGCCATAAGCAAAATAACACTAAAATAGAACACAAACTGAGCAATGATGAAATAAAATCAGCCCTCCTCCTTATGGTAAAAATGGGAAATGTTCCCTTCCCTCCATCCTTCCTCTTTCTTTCTCTACTTCATCAACGAATCTTGTGCACCTCCATGTTCCCGGCTCTGCGTGAATCTTGGAATGGCTGCAGCCTCTGCCCTCAAGGATGCTGTCGTCTTGTGGGAGAGAAGGCAGATGGAGAGTCTCAACCCAGGAGATGGGCCCTGGAGGGGTGGGAGCTCCAGGAATGGGACTGGGGAGGGAGGCCCTGCTGAGAGAAGGCCAGGGAGCCCATGTGGCTGGGGGCTTCTACAGGAGGAAATGAATGGAGTGGATCCCAGCTGAGATCTGTCTTCACCGCCCGGACCCCATATCCAGTTCCACGGTCTCCCCGTTAAATCAAGTCTTCCTTACTGTGCTGCATAAAGAGTGCTAGGACAGCTTTTCCTCCGATGCTCTACTAGCCCCTGGAGAGCGTGCAGCTGATGGTGGTCTGGGGGCACTGCAGTCACCATGTCTGGAGGTCTCCCTGTTAAGTGGTGGGTGGGCTGAACAGAGACACAGAGAAGAGACGGCACACCAGGTGAGGAGGAGAGTCCAGTGTCTGTGTGAGAGGTTGCTGGGCGAGGTCACCGGGCCACTCGGTGTTTCTGTGCTGACTTCCTGTGTGCTAAGTGGTCTCTTCACCAGGGTTCCTGAGCAGTGAGGGGACTTCTGGCTTTGCAGGTACCCCCACTGCTGTGGCTTGGGTCTACAATGCCCCACGGAGGCCCACACGTTAAAGGCTTGTCACCAGCCTGTGGTGCTGTTGGGAGAGACTGTGGGAAGCGGGACTTGGGGGAAAGAAGCAATGGGGACTTGAAAGCAATATAAAATCCCTGGCCCTTTATATCCCCTTGAAGGGGATCTGAAGACCCTGGCCCTTCTTCTCTTTCTTTTCCTTCCCAGCCAACCACGAGGTGAAGAGCCTCCTGCCATGATGTTCTGTGCAGCCGCAGGCCCAAAGCCACAGGATCAAACAACCATGGACTGGAAGCTCTGAAGCAATCCGCCAAAATAAACCTTTCCTTCTTTTTAAGCTGTTTACCTAAGGCAATTTATGATAGTGATGAAAAGACCACTCACACAGCCAATGTCCAAAATAAATACGTAAATGAAAGAATTGGAAGTTTATTAGGTTGAGACAACGATCGCACCCTGGGCTCTAATGCAAGCCATCCAAAGCTCTACTCCACAGAAACAGTAGCACAAAGCTGAAATGTAG